ACTTTCCCGTCCTATTCCGCATTTCCCGGGGTCCTCTGAAGCCCGCCTGAGCTGCAGGAATTCACTATTTCTTGTTTGGATGACGTCTCTAAAGTCTTACTGAAGAATACCCAGAGAAACCAAATAAAATTCCAAGGAGAGCCCGTCAGAGAACCACAAGCTCCACTTCTCTTTTTGGATCCTGGTCTGAGCGCCCAGCCTACAGTTTTATAAGCACATCCCTGGCCAGTGTTGCTTTCTGATTTTTATCTCATCTGTATAGAAAACCCTCACTGATTTTGTATTCTTTTAGGTATGAATTATTATACACATTTAGTTTTACTTCCATGAATAGAGTTTCACTGAATACTGCATTTTCCAGGTACTGCCTTGAAATTCAATCTGTGTCACATTAAAAACCTGGTTGTGATCCAGATCCAGCGGCCCGGGCCTGTGACCCCAGCTACCCCAGAGGCACAGGAGGGCGGAATGCAAGCTTATTGCTTGGTTTCGGAGCGAGCTCAAGGCCACTGTAGACAACTTAGTGAGACTCAGTCCCCAAGCAGATAAATGACTAAGTAGGGGCCAGACATATGACTGAGGCAGAGCACTTGTCCCCATGTGTGCGGCCCTAGATTCAGGATCACCAATCCTGAGAAAAATGTATTTACAATTGATTTATTTGTACCTAATTTTATTACCAGTCTATACTCTAGAATAATGTGATTACTCTGATGAATTTACTCTAACCTTTCCTGAGATATATTTTTATTCAACTACACTTATACGCATTTAATTTTAAAGGTTTGTCTATTTTATCTTATGTTTTGCTTGCATGTGTGTATGTACTGTGTGCACTGCCTAGAGCCCGTGGAGACCAGAAGAGGACATCTAATTTCCTGGGACTGGAGACCATTCCTGAGATCTCTCTGTAAGATCTCTCTGTAAGACAACCACCACTATTAACTGCTGAATGTCTTTCTAGCCCCTTAAGTTAAAAAGAGAATAACCTTTATTTTTATTTCATCTGTGTGGGTGTCTTGCCTGCATGTAGAGCTGGGCATCATGAGCATGCAGTACCCGTAGAGGCCAGAAGAGGGCATCAGATCCCCAGGGGCTGCAGTTAAAGATGATTGTGCACCTCCTTAAGGGTGCTAGGAATCGAACCTGGGTCCTCTGGAAGAGCAGCCCCTGTTCTTAACCACTGTGCCACCTCTCCAGCCTCTTACCTACAAATTTTCATATTGAGTAAAGTTTGATTTTCTGTAAGTATTTCCACTTACCATTAAATCTATAAGCATAATTTAAAATAACTTTTTGTTTTTTAATTGGTATGCATTTATGATAATAATTAAAACATCCATTCCAGGGGTTCTGTCTTAGGGTTACTATTGCTGTGATAAACACTATGACTAAAGCAATTGGTAGGGCAAAGGGTTTATTCAGCTTTTGTTTCCACAACATTGTTCGTCATCAAAGGAAGTCAGGACAAGAGCTAAGTGGGGCAGGAACCTGGAGTCAGGAGCTGCTGCAGAGGCCATGGAGGGTGCTGCTTACTGCCTTGCTCCCCATGGCTTGTTCAGCCTGCTTTCTTATACAGCCCAGGACCACCAGCCCAGGGATGGGTCCATAATGGGCTGGGCTCTCCCAGTCAATCAATGATTAAGAAAATGCCGTACAGGCTTGCCACAGCTGGGCCTTATTGGAGGCATTTTCTTAACGGAGGCTCTCTCCTCTCTAATGACTTTAGCATGTGGCAAGTTGGCATAAATCTAGCTAGTACAGGATCAAATGCCCTCTTCTGGTGTCACAGGTATCCATAGATACATGCTCACTCACACACACACTCACACACACACACACACACACACACTCACAAATAATACACTTTTAAAAGCTACTGGAAGACTTAAATACATTGATTTAGGCTTAGGTTTAGAAAGAAAAAAACATGCAAGTTTATCTGTAGAATAATAACTTTTGTAAAAAAAATTGAAATATAAAAATCCTGTTTTCCAACAAAATCTTTTTAAATAATTGAATTTGCGGTTGGAAAAAATATTTGGCTCCTGTTTCAGCCTACTCATACAAAAATTAAGTTCCAACCAGGTTGGAAATTTAAATACATAGAAGGTGATTATGACAAGCGCCATGAGCACAGGCAACGGGAATCTCGGGACCGTGACAGAGGCAACTGTGAAAAGTGGGCAGAGTGGCTGCTCTGTCCCGAGTGCTTCCTGCAACGCTCGCTTAGACCTGAGCTGCCTCTCACAGGTGGCTGAGGTCTGCTCCGTTTCAAATCTGCTTCTATTGGACATTGTATTTGAATGACCAATCTGGTAGGCAAGCGTCACCTCATACTGCAATTTGGGTGTCATCTCTTTGTTGACATAAGTGGGTCACGGGCTTAGGCCTGGGTGACTTCTTACAGAGACCCTTCTAAAAACAGCCCGTTTCAAAGGAACTGAGGATGTAGAGCATTTATGCTTGCTTTCTCCTTCTTCCTTTCTTCCTTTCTCTCTTTCTTCCTTTCTTTTTTTTAATCACCTGCTGCTTTCTTTGCCCCCCCACAATGTAAAAGTCTCAAATTTTTTTTAAATGTTTCTAAGATTAAAATACAGTCTGGATTCAAATTCAGCCCAGGTGTCTGTTACATAGAGGCCTTCAGTAGGGGACGCTTTCTCCAAATCTGCTTTGCTATCATTAAAAGTTCCCTCTTCCTCCTCCAAACTTTCATTTTCCCCACTGTCTACAGTCATTCTACCCCATGGATTTTTCTGCTCTTTACCGAAGGCCTGTCTTTAAATCTGTATATCTCTTGGTATAACTCATTCTCAGTTCTAGGTGGCACTACAGAGACATGGCAGAAACATTTTAGGCTGTATTTTTGTTGGTGGAGCCCCTGTTGTGAACTGGCCTTTTGTTTCTCCATAATTATCCACAGAAAATCAACTGGAGGCAAAGCGTGAGAAAATCTAGCACCAAGCCCATTAGAGAAGAAAGAAAGGAATGGATCAGGAGAAAGGGGTAAAAGTTTTCTGGAAATGTGAGACGTGACTTTTCTCTGTCTGTTTGATTTTAAGTAAATAGAAAACTTGCTTCTCAAAAAATCCAAGATAGCCAAAACAATCCTGTACAATAAAAGAACTTCTGGAGGCATCACAATGCCTGGCTTCAAACTCTACTACAGAGCTACAGTACTGAAAACAGCCTGGTATTGGTATAAAATCAGACAGGGGGACCAAAGGAACCAAATCAAAGACCCAGATATCAATTCACACAACTACAAATACCTGGTTTTTGACAAAAAATCAAAAAAATATCAAATGGAAAAAGAAAGCATATTTAGCAAATGGTGCTGGTATAACTGGATATCAACATGTAGAAGAATGAAAATAGACCCATATCCATCATCATGCACAAAACTCAAGTCCAAATTAATCAAAGACCTCAACATAAAGTCAGTCACACTGAACCTTATAGAAGAGAAAGGGGGGAGTACACTTCAATGCATTGGCACAGGAGACCACTTCCTAAATGTTACCCTAGCAGCACAGACACTGAGAGAAACAGTTAATAAATGGAACATTCTTAAACTGAAAAGCTTCTGTAAAGCAAAGGACACAGTCAATAAGACAAAACAGCAGCCTATAGAATAGGAAAAGATCTTTACCAACCCACATCAGACAGAGGTCTGATCTCCAAAATATACAAAGAACTCAAGAAATTGGTCATCAAAAGAACAAATAATCCAATAAAAAATGTAGTACAGACCTAAGCAGAGAACTCTCAACAGAGGAATCTAAAATGGCTAAAAGACACTTGAGGAAATGTTCAACATCCTTAGTTATCAGAGAAGGCAAATCAAAACAACTCTGAGATTCCATCTTACACCTGTAAGAATGACCAACATCCAAAACACTGATGACAATTTAAATTGGAAAGGTTGTTGGGTAAAGAGAACACTCCTGCATTGCTGGTGAGAGTGCAAACTGGTACAACCCCTTTGGATATCAGTATGGCAATTTCTCAGAAAATTAGGAAACAACCTTCCTCAAGACCCAGCAATACCAAAGGATACTAAATCATGCCACAGAACATGTACTCAACTATGTTCACAGCAGCATTGTTTATCATAGCCAGAACCTGGAAACAACCTAAATGCCCCTCGACCAAAGAATGGATAAGGAAAATGTGGTACATTTACACAATGGAGTACTACATAGCAGAAAAAAATAATGACATCTTGAAATTTGCAGGCAAATGGATGGAACTAGAAAATGAAGACCCAGAAAGACAATTTTCATATGTACTCACTCATAAGTGGTTTTTAAACATAAAGCAAAAAAAAAAACAGCCTACAATGCACAATCCCAGAGAACTTAGACAACAATGAGGACCCTAAGGGAGACTTACATAGATCTAATCTATATGGGAAGTAGAAAAAGACAAGATCTCCTGAGTAAATTGGGAGCATGGAGATCATGGGAGAGGGTTGAAGGGGAGGGGAGAGGAGAGGAAGGGAGGGAAGCAAAGAAAATTGTAGAGCTCAATAAAAATCAACTAAAAAAAAAGAAAAAGAAAACTTGCTTCCAAGCAGAGACACTTCTGCTTTGATTGACATTGCATACAAAGACCACAGAAGATCTGGGGACACGTCAAAAGGCAGAATGGTGGTCTGCAAACACGATGGCAAACGTGGCCGAAGAGTGGCATGACGCAGGCACACCACCAGCTGCTCAGGACATCCACACAACAGCCCAACCCAAAGGGTGTGCTTAAACATGGCTGCTAACAAACCCCTGGGCCCATCCTTGCTTTTGAATTTTATTTTCACTGATAAGAGTGGAGAAGCAGAGAATGAAATCTCCAAACCTCTTAGGGATGCCTGTAAGAAGAGACAGCAGAAGCCTCCTCCATGAGTCTCAGCTTTCCCCAGAGATCCTGTGGGATTGATGCTAATGTGTTTAGGGTCCTGTTTTAGATAGTAGAGCCACCCAAAGCACAGGGGCCATACTCACTCATTGGGGGTTCCCTTCTGGCCACAAAAGTGTCCCCGGCTGTCTGTAGGATAGGCCATTCTCCTGGGGTCACCATGTGTCCAAGCTGCGGGAACAAAAAAGGACAAAGACTCCATCAGCAACATCTAGCTGAAGGCAGTCTGATTTGAGAGATTAGAATTGCCACGGCAACGCTCACCTCTTCCCCCTCAGTCATAGAACATTATTGATTTTCTTCAAAGAGTAATTTCTTAATGAAAAGTAAAATAAAATATGGATGAATTGGTCTGAAAGCGCGTTTTTCTTCTCCCCAGATTCATCTGGGCTGCAGCCAAAACATGAGGTAATGCACTTAGAAAATGACAGTTATTAAAATGAGGAGGAGAGAGGGCACAGACAAAAGCCCTCTTGGAAAAGAAGACGCCTTTTCTAAAGCTCCAGCACAAATGACTTCATGCCAGAGCTGATAGATTGACTCCAGGCAGCATGATGTAATGCTTTGGGGGGGGGGGTATACAGAAGTGAGAAACACCGAGACATTCAACAGAGTGAACCGACTAGCTCTCTGATTTCACAGGACACTCAAAAGACAAACAAGGACACGGCGGAGGCACTCGGCAGGAAAGATCTGCCAGGCATTTGTCCGGTAATCTGAGCTTAATACAAAGACCATGCGTCCCTGACTTCAGTATAGCAAGGACTCAGCCGTGGTTTCTGTGGAGATGCTGGACTTTGCTTCATGCAAACTCATCACCCCTTTTTATTTGTTTTTATGTGGGTGATAAACTTGGCCTGACATCTGAACGACAAACCTCCAGAAAGTAACATCCACCACTAAACTAGGTAATAGCTGTCCGCTCTAGCTGTTCTTCTACCTTCTCAAAGTTTGAACAACGCCATTGCTAAACGTCCAGGCTGCAGCTGAAAACACATCCTGGTCCTTTGCTTCTGATAACATTGCTCCGTCATCTCCTTCCCCACACTTATTGGAGCTGACAGTTTGCCTTATAATTCAATCACTCTTATGCATGTGACTGGTGTGACTTGTGACAATAAAAAAAAATCAATTTTCCAAATGAGGATTGTAATAAGGAAGAGAATTTTTCTCAGTACTTTTCTCATTTCTTTTGGTTAGTGTCTAAGTACCAGGGAGGCTTCCTTTGTCTATTTCTCTCTAATGTCATAGAGGCCAAATAAGCTTCATCTAGGAATACCATCTTGTGAGATCTGAGCAGCCACCATTTTTTCCTGTCCTTGTTTTCCAGAATAAAAAAAGAGCAATATATAGGTATGCAAATGACATCCAAGTGCTCAGTGCTCAGTTAGACCCTTATTACAATGTTCCTGTGCCGTAGTTTGCCACACATTGGCTAAGCGATCCAATTTCATCCAACTCCATTCTTTTAGCTTTATCCTAAAATGTCTTACCCTGTCTCTCTAAATAATTATTAGCTGAGAATTGGGCATTGGATTCCTTTTTATACGGTTTTTCTTTGCTCCTGAGGATTTCATGCGTACACACAATGCAATGTGACCCCTGCCACCCATCTCCCCAACCCCAACTCCCCCCATATTGCCTCAATGCATTTGCCTCCCAACTTTACGTCCTCTTTCTCAATGACCACAAAATGCAGTCAGTGTTGCTCATGTGTGCCCGGATGTGCAGCCATTCAGAGGAATATGGGCAGCCAGCGCCACATCCTCAAGACAACGATGTTCCCTTCTCTTGTAATTGTTGATGGCCAAAGGCTCCTCAGTAATGAATAGGGCCTGGAGAGTAATCACCATATTGAGATGTCTGTTTCTTATTGTCTATAACCCAGATCAAATTATTCACGTATTTTAAATCCCCACTTTCTAATTAGCTGCTAAAGCACAGAAGCAGGTATAAAATGCACAGAATACTGAGCCTGCAGAAGTAGATAATGGCAGTGGAAGGTCTGGTAGGGGCTTGGGACCCACTGTGGACGCAGTCATGCTAGCTCTTTCTTTAATTTCTCAAAAACCGAAATCTGAAACCAGACTTTGATGTTTGTGCTTTGTTTGGAGTGGGGATGGGCAGCTCCCAGAAGCTTCCACAGGCGCAATGGGCTGGACCCAGGACAGATTAAGGACTGTAAAGGAGACAGTAATAAGCAGGCCACAGTGACAGGCAGCTGTGGTCATCTGAGAACCTCTGTGATCCCCTGGTGGTGCTTGTGGGAGCCATTGTACATTTGCCCCCATAACTGTGAACGCCTGTTGATGGGATGAGGGGAAGTGGGGTCTCCCATCAGTAGCAGTGGTCGCCATTGATTTCTTTCCCCTTTTACATTATCGGTCAACGAATTAAAGACTCCACTAAGGGACCACTGTGTGTTGTGGGTCAGTGTCAGCTATGGCATGCCTAACACTCAGTCCCACAGAAAAGCCCACAGGAGGGAGGCCAATGCCTGTAGTCCCAACACTTGGGACTGAAGTCACTCTGGGCTCTACGGTGAGTTCAGGTCTACCTAGCATCATAGAAACCACGAGGGGAAGGTGTGAGAGACGTGAGAATAGTGTTGTGGAGTTCAGCCTGACCTCCACTTTATCACACGCCTCCAGTAATTAAAAGTCACGACACCCTAGGGGGTAAGAGTGTAAACTGCCTAGGTTATGAAGTTTGCTGAGCAATCTATATACACTTGAGTCAATCATTTTATTCCCTTCATTAGCCCACTGTTTTAGAAAAACTTTGTATGTGTGTGTGTGTGTTTGGGGGAGTACATAATGGGGCTGGAAGTCAAACTCTATTGTCATTCCTCAGGTGTTGTCCACCATGTTTTTGAGACAAGGCCTCTTTCACCGGGAACTCAACAACTCTGCTAGGTTGACTGTCCAGTGAGGTCCACAGATCCATCTGTCCAGCTTCCCGAGAGCTGGGGCCTCAGATGTGCACCCCCAGGCCCAGTATTTTAAGTGGGTTCTGGGAATCGGATTCAGGTCCTCATGTTTATGTGGCAGGTACCCAACGGCCACGTGTCTAGAAATAACTTAAAAGGATCGCTTTGGCTGACTCCGACGTATACATGGATAGTGTGTGTGTGTGTGTGTGTGTGTGTGTGTGTGTGTGTGTGTTTGGTGTGTGTTTGTGTAGGGGAGGGGGAAAAGGATGAGGAATTGTACATTTGCACATTCTGTTGAGGTATTTCACAGAGGATGGACAAAGGTTGGCACGGACAAGTGAAAGCCTTATTTGGGCAAAAGACCTTATCACTCATCTCAAGGAAACATTTATCCCCGTATATCCAGGGAAGCACCGCTGCTACCTAACACCCTCTCTCATTTTCAGGGGTTTTCAGAACAAGCTCCAGTCAAGCTTTTGGGGCGAGTCGGAAAGTGGTGGCCGTTATAAAGCCCTCCAGAAGTCAAGGGGAAAATGATCAGACCCGACTGCTCACACCGACCCTGAAGGATGAACTGCAGATCTGTTTGGGGGCAGCGAAGGCAACCGTGAAGCCCTGGCTGCCTGGGATGCTGGCTCTCAGGTCATTAGCATGTGCCCCTTAAAGGCACATCTTAACTGTTCTAGTATGAGAGGAACAGGCCTGCCACATCGTGCTTATGTCGTTTTAACACAAGCAATTTACAAACGCAATGAAGCAGATAATAGGGCACATGAAGTCAGATCTGAAGACCCGCATTGTCGGCAGGGCTGCTGCTGTAGACAGGCTTTGAGAAACAGTCCCGTCTCCAGTTGCTGGGGTGAGAAACATGGTTGTCATTTCACAGGGGGCCTCTTCCACCCAGTGGTGAATTTAGGGTCGTGTCCTTGAGTGCAAGCCAGTCCTTCATATGCTAACAACACTTCAAGAAGTCTGGACAGCATGGGCGTGCACAAGGGTGCACAGGAAAACCTAACGAAAGGTCAGAATCACTCAGTACTATGGACAAGCTCAAATCTCAGCTGAAAACCAAACGTTTCCTTTTTAAACCAAATACTTTTGAAGCAGAAGTATGAGTGTGGGATGTAGTTTATAAACATGTCTGTATTCATAAGGAAAGTAAAAGGATGCACAGTATTGACCCTTGTCACCCTGTTAGTGCACAACACATTTTTCAGAAATAAAAGTGTGATCGAATCATCCTTGAAATAATGGAAATCAATTTTAAAAATGAGCTTTTAATTGAAGACATTAATTTACTTTTGGTAATAGTCTTAGCTATGACATGACAGGTAGGTTCATTTTGGTCTTAATGTAAGCAAACGGCAAGACATGGCCCCTGTGTTCAGTTCCCTCTAACAGTGAATATTTCAGTATATCTGCTCCTAAAAGAGAAATGCAAGATGCCTGGGAAGCACAGAAGTGACCAGTGGTGAGGAGATTGTGGGGAAAAGGGAGCCTCTTGGACCTTGTAGGTGGGAACGTAATTATCTCAATTATCTTGGAAAATGGGTTCAAAACACTGAAATTAGGATCATCAGCCATCCCTTATGGGGATACCTCTGAAGACAAATAGAGGTGTCTGCCTCATGTTGACTTTGGTGTTCTTCACAGTATCCAAGACACAGACACAAGCTAAGAATCTGTCAACAGGTGGATGGCTAAGGAAAGTGTGCACGCACACACATGGAATAAACCTGTGAGTTCGAGGCCAGCCTGGTCTACAAGAGCTAGTTCCAGGACAGCTAGAGCTGTGACACGGAGAAACTGTGTCTCGAAAAACCAAGAAAACATAATCATGAAAAGAAGGAAATCTTACTGTTTGTGGCAATGGGGATGAATGCAGAGGCACAGAAAAGCAACCAAATTTCACTTGCTTTCACTAATACGTGGTGAATTCTAACAAGAATCCAGGCAGAAAGTAGAGCAGCAGCTACCAGGAGTGAGGGGATGGGGATGGTGGGAGGACATAGATCAAGAGATATGAATGTGAAATAAAACAGATGACAGTAGCAACTGGTCCAGAAGGAGACAGAATTCATAATTATGTCTTCAGGTACAAGGTTTATCGGAATGAGAAGATGTCAAGGCCTTGAGGTGGGAGGAAGTAGACAGAAACAATACAAACAAACAGAATGGAGCCTTAAAGGGAAGGAGAGGGAGAGAGGCTTCCCTTCAACACCTGGAGGGGAGTTCATCAAGAGTGAGGGAGGGAGAGGGGGGAAAAGGAGGAGGAAGAAGAAGGAAAGAGAGGGGAGGGAATACCATTATGAGAGGGGAAGGGGAGGAAGAAATGCCATTGTTGGGGGCAGGCAGAGGAACCTCTTCAGAGAGCAACCTTCCTCTCTGAACCAAATTTCTGACCTGTCTCAGTGAGGAGCCTTGAATCAATGTCTAGGTCAGGAAAAGCCTGACGATTTATGACGTTTTAGCCTTTTGGGGGTAGAAGGAAGTGTCACGCTGTAACTTAGTTCAGCACAGCTCACATGGCAGAGGTGACAGCATCAAGTCACAGCACAGACGGAGAGCTGCCGGGAGCATGGCGCGATTGCGGCCATGGGAGCAGGACTCAGAGTGTTCTAACGGTAAATCTTTAGGTTCGACACGACTGACTTCTAGAGACCCAGCATACAGTGCGGTGTGTGCAATTGCATACAAAAAATTTCTCAAAGAGCACATCATAAGTATTTTCGCCCCTCCCAAAAGGTAATTATGCTGAGGAATGGATGTTAATTAGCTTAATTATGATAATAATTATACAAGAGATACAACAGCAAAATGCCAGGCTGGGTCTGGGGGCATAGCTCAGTTGTAAGAAAGCTTTTTTGTGTGGCGTGTAAGGCTCTGGGTTCAATCTCCAGTTTAAAAAGCCTTCATGTTGTACATCTCAAATACCTGAAATATTCTGTCAGTTGTATATTTTCAAATCTAAAAATGTATAATGTTTAATTACACTTACTTGAATAAAACAGCCCCTGCATTTCTCTACAGACAGAACTATAAATCATCCTAGAATTATCTTTATTCCTGGAAAGGTTACACTAGTGAGTGACCTTGTTTAGGGATGGGGCTTTCTCCATTCCTTGTACCTTGATGGGAAAAGACCAATTTGATCTAAGAGATGAAAGGGAGAACCCGCCAAATTGCCTGTGACTTCACATCAGGACAGATCCAGCTTCTCAGATAGGTCTCCTAGCCACAACGGACACAAATACCCCAAGGTAATGCCACAGAGACAATGCTACCCTTCAGGTCTTGCTAAGCAAGGCTCCTATTTCCTGATTCCAGGCTCTGTCTGATTCTCTACTGTTTTTCCTTCAGGCACACATTTTCTCATAATCTGAAAAGACAGAGATTTGGGGGAAAGTTTACCTTTTACTTGGAGTCTCTCAGATAGGAAGTCAGCATTCTAACAGGAATAGTTAACCCAGTCTGTCCAGTTCAGACTGCTGTCCAGACCCCCTCACCCCATCCTGGAAGCTTTTCACTACTCTTGGGTTTCTCACCGCAGGAGGACAGAGTTCTGGGCTCGCCTGCATTAACGTCCCTATTAACTTCCCATCTTCTCAGCTAATAAGGGTAATTACTTCAGGGAAACATTAAAAACCGAAATCAGACTTTGGGCTCCAGCCTGCGGTATTTCATAAGGAAATGTAACAGTGGAGTAACTCTTAGAGAGATAAACAAAATGAAAATTTGTTGAACGTTAAGATTGTTGAATTATTGAATGTCACAATTTTTATGTATATAATGTTAGCCCAAGATTTGCAGAAAGCAATTTGTATAACAAGAATTCCTATTCTTTTTTCTGGTTAGTACGGTAATTGAACAGCAACCACCTGTGACGGGCACAAAGAGAGTTACTATCCTAATGTTCACGTGATCATTCCGCAAGACTGGATTCCCATCTACCCAGACTCCACTCCATCCACTCAGTCGAGGGCCTTGCTCACATGCAGACAACACCCTGTGCTCACGCTGCACACACACAGAGCACAGAGAACAGTCTAGTTGGGTTTTTTGGTTTTTGTTTTCTTTAACTCTTACTCTTTGAAGACTCACACCACCCAGCCCCCAAATAAACACACAGAGACTTATTCTTTCCTAGGAATGCCCAGTCGTAACTTGGCTATTTTTTAGCCAGCTTTTCTTACACCATCCCACCTACCTTTTGCCTCTGGGCATTTGCCTTTTTACCTCTAACGCCACAGCTGGCTGTGCGACTGGGTGTGTGCCCCAAGCATCCTCCTCTCTTTCTCTTCTTGCTCCCCCTCTTCTCTCTTTCTCCTCCTACTTATTCTCTCTGCCCGTCAGCCCCTTCTTTCCCTCTTCTGCCTAGCTATTGTCTGTTCAGCTCTTTATTAGACCAATCAGGTGTTTTAGGCGAAGTAACATGGCTTCAGAGAATTAAGCAAATGCAACACATCTTTGCATCGTTAAAAAATATTCTATAGCATAAACAAATGTAACACATCATTACATCATTAAAAAATATTCTATAGCATAAATGAATGTAACACATCTTAAACTAATATTCCAGTTCAGAACAAGGTCTGCCTAGTAGATTTCGGGTGAGAAACAGAAATAGCTCCTCCGTGGTGAAGGAATGAGAAACGCTCCCCTGGGCTTGGGTCAAGATGACAACGCTCTTTGGCGCGAGGCGTAGGAAGTGTGCTATTGCTGGAAGAGGCAAATCCCTGGGGATGGCACTGAGAGCCAAACCTCAGGCCACTTCCGGTTTTCCTCTCTCTGCTTAGGGTTCGTGCTAAGAGATGTGGGTGTCCAGCTTCCTGCTGCCAGGCCTCACTTCCACGGTAGACTCCCTTACCCTCCAGAATCACAAGTCAATAAACTCTTCTTCTGTCTTGAAAGTAGTACTTTATAACAGCGACTGAAAAGTAACGAATAGGCATGGTGACACTCACGGAGAGATCACAGATAAATGATCAGTCCGTGAAGGCCCTGCTCTAATAGAGAAGGCCAAGCCCACAGTGCCAATACCATCATGGTGAAAATGACCTCTCAAAGAAAAGCATTCATTCTTCCGTGTTACAGCTATTCTTAACAATCTTCACATTGCCCCTGCCAACTGTACCCCCGTGGTCCTCTTCCAGCTTCCCATTCAATATAGCAAGGAGTAAGTCAATTATCTTGAACTCAAACCAGCAAAGCCAGATAGAGTTGAGGGATAAAGAAAGTATATGGATATTTAGAGAATTTCTTGAATCATTTGTTTCTAGCAGTGGTATCAGGATTAATTTGTGAGAAATGCTGAATTAATTTAATATTGAATATTGACTTTGATTGAGGAAAGTTTGTTCCCCAATTTCCTATATGAATCAAAACGTTTACAAATCAAATCCAGGAATCTTGAACAAAAAGGTGAAATTCTTGCCTTGCTCCAGAGGGACTTGTGGTGGGCCTCCCCCGCTGATCCTGCCATAGACAGAGGTGGCTGGGCGCTCTCCCACTGACCCTGCCAGGGGCAGAGGTCACTTTGACAGTCCTTATAAGAACAGATACCTACCCTACAGAGAGACTCAACCAATGTTGAGTTAGGCCTTGTGTGGAAGGATTCCACTCGCAACAGAAGCCCCTTGGGGAGTTCCTGTGTTCACTCAAACTTTAATAACCAAAATTGTGGGTTGCAACAGAAGCAACATTGTAAACCATATTTAAAACAAATTTCCTGCAATTTTGAAGAGCTACATTATTTATGCACTGTCTAGCACTCTCGTCGACACTGCTGACATGGTTGGGCATTGCAGTTCACCCCTCAAAACTGGTCTGGGAATTCAGGGAGTGTTTCCATTCTTCCCAGGTGAGCGAGTTGGTTAGACAGTTATCTGTACCCCACAAAGTAGTATAAGAATCTAGACCTGCCTGGTTCCAAATTCTCCTCATCTTACGCAACACGTTTCAATTCTGTGATAGTAGGAAAAATAAGCAAACATTATGTAAACTAGAAAAATGTGTCCTGAAGTTATAAAATATTTGATAATATTCAACCTAGAGATTGTATTCAATCTACAGTAATGCTTAGATGGTACAAAGTTAAATATTTAAGAACATGAGGGGCTTTCCTCAAGCCCTTACTATTATTATTATTATGTATTATTATTGCTATTGTTATTATTATTATGTATTTCTGTGTTAATGCTTGTTAAAGTTTTTTTCTCCCTGTCCTAGATTTTTATACAGTTCTGTTTCTGTGGTGATACAGAGATCAACTTGGGGAGAGACTTTTAATTTCTGTTCTCAGGACACTTCTTTTACTAGAGAGTGAAAAAAGAAAGACCAAAATATTTTACAGTGTTCTGTAACATGTAAACCACAGGTCAATAATTATTGGTGCTAGAAGCTAAGATCTAATGGAAATGGTTCTTACCCTTACAGAAGCAAACCAAATCTTATTAAGTCAATTCCTGGAAGACAGGATTACATCTCCTGGTGGAACTGTCTGGTTTACTGACTACAATTATAAAGTCTTTTTACAGAAAAATACACAATGATTTTTTTGTTTTCTTTTTGTGCTATTTTCTTTAAAACAATATCATGTGTTTGTCTTCGTTGTTTCTGTGTTCTAGAAAAATCTTTAACGTAACAGCAAACAAGAGTGCCTCTTTCTTGGTAGGTAAAGAGAACAGGGTTCAATTTAAACAATGGATTAGCTGGTGAAATTGATAATCATTGCCCTTATCCTGTTTAGCTTATGAATCAACACATTTAAAAATTGCCCAACTGACCTAGCTCCTAGTTCTTACAGCCAGCAGCAGCCCTGGTATAACCAGTTCTTCATTGGAATTTAAAAGGTAGAAATTACTAAAGAAGGAACTAGAAACCTTCTTCCTTCTTTGCTGCTGTCTCAGTTACAGAGTCTCCACTTGGCCACTCTGCGCTGTGCCAATTTTGTTCGTATCACCACCAAACAAGTCCAGAGAAGATAACGTCAATAACAAGAAGAGAACAACTCATGTTTAAAATGAGGCACTGGTGTGGTTGATCCACTAACAAATGGTTAGTATTGTTTATACCTGGGGTTACTCACCCACGAGTCCTAACAGGATGTAGCCCGTAACAAACAGTATGAAGATCATACAGCACAGAACGTCCGTACAACTCCTGAAGACAGAAAGGAACAGAGAATTAAAAGGCATCCCGAGTGACTTCTTCACCATACAAAACGTAGGGAAAGAAAGAAAATAGCTATCAGCCACCTGCAGCAAACAATTCTGAAAGGCAGGACAGGCGAATTTGTTCAACCAGAGACTTAAGGAGAAGTGGGGGATTCAGATCACCATGACAAGAGCTCGCTTTGAGCTCTAAGTATTTATTCTCTCTTGGTTCATGTGGGAAACATTTCTAGAGATTAGCATATGCCAACATCAAGTAGACTTTTTCTTTCCGTGTCTATGTATATATTGCATATGTGTGCATATGTGTTTGCATGCATGTGGGAATGTTGTTGGTATCAGGAAACTTCCTTGACCAATTTCCATCTAATTCAGTGAGGCAGGGCCCTGATCCAAACCAAGAGCTCTCTGACTTGACGAGTCCTTGCCCAGCAGACTCCCGCACAGACCCATCAGCCATTACGTGGGTGCGGGGATTCCATCAGCAAGTTCTCTGAGCTCCTTCCTTCTCTCGGAGCTTCTTGTTTGCACTATGAGACTCGTGTAGACTTATCTCCTTGGCCATTGAGTGATTCTTAAAAGCGGAATTTGAAGTGGAATTTAAGTAGTTTGGGCACATGACTTATTTTTCATGCTTTCCCAACACACAGTCTAAAATACCCTGTCCTTTCTCCATATCTTCCCCATTTGTACTTTCTTGGTGTAAGTATTTTATAAAGAAGACTGACCACGTTAACTTTCATTGAGAAGCAGAGTTATAGATTCTCTAACACTGGCACAAATGAAAATGTTTCCAGATTCTGATCTTTCCAGAACCGCACAAAATAGATGTCATCAGATTAGATTTAGAAAGAATGTGTTTCAGGGAGACTTGCTAATTCACTAAATCAGGATTAGAATCCAATCAAAGGATCTGTAGGGCACACAAGGCTTCTATTTTCCTTTAATATTTATTTTGTGCGTGTGGGGGTTTGCCTGTGTGTGTATCTGTCTACCGCTTGTGTACGTGCCTGGTGTCCATGGAGGCCAGAACAGGATGTTGGATCCCCTGGAACTGGAATCATAAATGGTTGTGAGCTGCCTTGTGGGTATGGAGACTCAAACCTCAGTCCCCTGAAGGTTCATCCAGTGTTCTTGACTACTGAGCCATCTCCCCAGCTCTGACACCCAAGGTCTTCAAAATAAAGTGTTCCCTATTTCCAGTATGATGTTGTGTTCCACCTTCAATGGCTTAAAAGTTAGAGCTATCATTAAAGTGAGAACTCTACTGCTTCTTAGTTGGAAACAGTTACAAATCTATTATAGAAACAAAACAAAAGAAAAGCATCTAGGCGGTCATGGTGAAGCTTGTAATCTCAGCCCTCAGGAAGATGAGGCAGGGGAACCAAGATCTTGAGGCAGTCTCGGTTGTATGGGGTATACTGTCTAGACAAAAAAAATAAAACAACAACAGCTTATGTGATAGGATTGAAAGTTATACAAGAGAATTTTCAAAACAGAATACTTTGATTTGGAGGCAGCTGGGTATACTCCCGCTTTAGCACAGGTGAGATGTGTCTGTGTGTCTGCTTGTATATCCATGTGTGTTTCTGTCTCTGTATGTTTGTCTCTGTGTGTGCTCAGGTGTGTACCTCCAGGCAATCACAGCTATTTCCTATAATTTACTATTTCTATTACTATTCTATTACTATTGCTCATTTACTTCTGTCTCTTCCCTTATATTCTCTTCAGGGAGAAAATACAGAGCTTAGAAAGTTTCTTGGAATTTTTTTGAACAAAATATAAAATACAGCTTGTGTAAAATGGTTTGGGTCAGGGAATCCAGCAGGCTGCTTCTGCCTCTACAAGCTCTGAGGCTAATCTTTGTTCCTGACTTTGAGCTCAGGACGGCAACCACCATGCCGGTGCTCTACAGGAAGTGAGGTGGAGTTTTAGATCAAGTATTTCATTTGGATAATTAAAAAATAACTCCCAAGACAAATATTGAAATAAGTGGTTTGTAGAATTTCTGTCTGAGTAATTCTGAGCCATATTTGAGCTGGAGGGCAGTCCTGGGTACCTTTTCCTCAGGTGGGCTCCTTTTCGCGGTTACGGCAAGTGCTAAGATCCACTGGAGGAATTAAGAATTGGGTTGCGTCCCATGGGGTCCCTGAGTGAAAACTGACGGAGAAATAGGCCCAACTCTCTTCATTACTTCCCTCCTATCAAAGTCACATTTTCCCAAAACAAGGCTCACACGCTGTCCATCGGTTCAGACTGTGGATCTCCGACATGAAAGCACTGTCAAGATAAATTAGCAAAGTACTTTGTTCCCTTGTATCTAAATTCCAATTACACATGCGCTTACGAATTTCCCTCCCTTGTGTCTCTAAACTATGACTATGGTCCAAACATGGTCACCGGAACTTAAAGCATTGGGAGCTTCCTGTGATTTCCCATTTTCTCAGCATCTTTTACATTCAACCGGCAAGTTCTCTTGACTTCTTCTCTGATCTGGCTTTTGTTGCCTGGAGTGCATCTAGGTTCCTTATCCTCTCTTCAAACCATTGCCCTGGTCTCTTAATTGGGCTCCTGTAAGCGGTCTCTGCCTCTGCCGAACTGTTCTGTAATCAAATGCCATTGAGACACACGACATCATTTTCTCTTACAACTGGAGCCGGGCCACCACCTCACTTCCTGAATGTCACTTTCATGCTAAACTTTCAGGTCCAATCCTTGTCGAGCCCCATAGCCTCTTTCCAGGCTGTCTTCCCCAGTTCCTTCTCAACATGTTTCCGTTGACAAGCTTGTTCACGCACGCATGTCCAGTTTATTGTCCATCGGCGACAGTCAGAGCTTTCTGCTCCTGGGTGACTGCCTGCCCCATTGCGCACATCGCAGTTTGCTTTCACCTGTGGGGCTGGGCAACCCACCAAGAACGCTCCCTTATTCCCCCAAAGTGTGTGAGCTTGAGCTACCCCAGTAATAAAACCCCATTCTCTAAGCAGCTTGACATGTGACCTGAAGGGTTTGACGGGACGAGACTCCAGACCTGTAGACTGCCCATTTCACATCTACTCTCCCACCGTAATACAGACCAGAGTGGAGGGGGAGGGGCGCTGCTTTCTGCCAGCAGAGCTGGTGTCCCCTTGCTCATGTGCAGTCACTGAGCTGTGAGTGACTTTTACTTTATTCATTTGTTTGAGAAAGGGAATCACTATGTAGCCCCAGTTGGTCTGGAATTTGCCTCAGATGCTTGAACCTCTGCCTCCTTCTACTGGGTTCCCCATCCTTGTGTAGTTTTTAAAACTACATAAAGAATGGAAGTACACACCTGTAAATCATAGCCCTGGAGGAGCAGAAGCAGGAAATTATGAGTTTGAGGCTAGCCTGGGCTATGTAGAAAGATCTTGTCTAACAACAACAACAACAACAAAAAAAACCAAATCACAGTATCACATTTGTGACATAAAAAAATAGACAAAATTCAAATTTTAGTATCCATAAGTAAGAATTTTTAAAAATAAATATTCATTTCATTTACATGCTCATAGTCTGTGGTCAATTTTGTGTTAATATGGCCGATTTTGATGGTTGTATGAGAAGTCACCCAACATACAAAATCAAAAACATTTATTTCCTGAACCTTATAGGAAAAGAGTGCTGATCTGACCTCAAACATGGAGGCCTCTGAAGCAGCATTCAGCAGAAGACCTGATAAGCCACATACACACACACACGCACACACACACACACACACACACACACACACACACACATGCACACACACACATACATACACATGAACACACACATACACACATGCACACACAGGCACACACACATAGACACACACGTGTGCACACACAGGCACACACATCCTGACTGGCGGACCAGTCATAAGTAGTCACTGCTGACCATTCAGGTTCTGTGTTTAGAAGTTCGGATTGGATTTTCTTTTCTTCTGACTCAACACGGTGAGTAAGGTGCCCAGAGAGAGTTGTTTGGGTCAAGTTCACACACGCCACCAGTAAATGGAAAATCACCAACCAAACCAAGTCCCAGTGGCAATGGAGCTTTATTTGCCCAGCGCACATCCCAGCTGCAGGCTGCTTTCACTTTCTGATGGCTGCCACTCAGCTTCCCGTCTGGGGACAGCTTTCTATCCTCACCCTGAAACTGATTCAATTTTTTAGGTTTCTTTCTTTGTGGCAGGTGGAATTTCAGTATCATCCATCCTGAACGGTCATTAATAAGAAGCATTAGCGTGAGCAGGGAAGCTCCGAGACTCATTCTTCTCTGACAGATCACCTGTCAGTGCCTAACGAGTCAGCTGAGGGGCCGCCCGCAGTCAGTGACTCCAGCATGGAAGGGCTGTCTCTCTGTGCCTCTGCTGCGCCAGAACGACACCGGACGGAAGGATGCTGCGAACTTGTCTCTTACCCCACATGCTCTCAACACAAATGTCAGCTCCGGGGTTGGGGTAACAGCTGGTCGATAACGTGTTGGCCATGAAAATAGTGTATGTTGTGGAGGACCAGACATGCTAGCCTGTGCTTGTAATCTCAGTACTGGAGGGTGTGGCAGAGGCATGGAAGCCTCTGAGGCTCCCTGGACAGCAAGTTCTAAGCCAATGAGAGATCCTGTCTGACAATTCAAGGTGGATGGCATATGGGTAATGCCTAAACTTCTCCGAAATCTGCATCGCCAACTCTAGAACATGGTGTGAGTGGCACATGTCACCTGCTCCTTCGGGGAGGTTGTGGGGCCTCTGGGACTGTAGTGTAGCTGGCAGACGTGGGAAGCTTAGGGTAAGCCTTGACGGTAACATCTACCTTTGCTTCCTGGTGGGGGCCTAACATAAACAGGCCCTGTGCTGCCCTGGACGAGGCCACTCCAGTCCTCATGACTCCCCTATCACGATGGGCTGTGCCCTCGGTGGGCCTATTAGGCCTCTCCTTCCTGAAATAGTTTATGTAACAGAAAGTAACTGAGAAAACAAGTTAGAAG